GATGGAGGTGGCGCCTGTGCTTGGACCCAAGAATCCTGCAGATCTAGACGCCAAGAGATTGAGCCACAAACGGCTGGTAAGCCTGATGAGAATGATTGGCTTCTACGACATGGACAACGACCATTTGTTGACCGATGACACCATACTCCGCGAGGAAGCGCGGCAGTTGAACCAAAGCGCAGTCCGCGCATTGAACGCCTTGAGCCTACTCAGTGGCATGGCACTCCAAGGGTGTCAAGATGGAGGACAATGTGAAGACGGCAATGGAAGCAGCAATAGCTTTATGTGGGAAACATGGAGGATTACACTCTTCCAGATGGGCATTGCAATCCTTGGCATCATCGGGATGATCCTCTACAAGAAGTTCATTCGTCGTGGACAACTTGCAGAAGAAACTTTTCATGAAGCTCTACTTGAAGAACAAAGCCGACGTGAAGAAGTTCCACAACTTCATCGAGAACCTCATGAACCAGAAGAACACGGACTACCTCATCGATACCCTCAAGATGAAGAACCGTATCCTCACCACTATGATGACATGGAAGTCGATGAAGAGCCCTTCAACGTGTTTGGTGTCAACGCAGCCAGTAGACCAAGGCCTACAAGTGCGCAAACCCTTCATGGTGATGAAGAACTTGCAGAGGAGGATAACCTCACAGAAGACGACAATTACAGTATGAGCGTTGACGCGGAGCAGATCCTGGACTTTGGTGAGCACGAAGATGACTTCATCAACCTCACTGAGGAAGAGTACGACAGCTACAGGACAAGACTTCTTGTGGAAGTCCGTGGCGTCGAGCAATACCTGATGGAGCTCAACCGGAAAGTGAGAAGGGAGATGGAAGACCTTGATCCCAGGAACGTTTTCTATGGGGACATCAGGAGTCAGATGATAAGTGGCCTCAGGGAGATCATGGCGATGCAAAGAGATGTCATGAACGAAGGCCAAGAACACGTGCCCGTGTGATTCGCTTCTTGCACGCCAGGCACCGCTACATCCATAACCACCCACCTGGTGACAGTGATGCAAGCATGGATCAAACCTCTGACCCAGAAGGCTACGCAGCAGTCACCTACGGATGGGCAAGCGACAACACTCCATCAAGCTGTGAGGAACACGCCATGGAGATCGCTCCTACTGGAGCGAGTGGTGCAGCTGATGGAAGCTGATGATGCAGCTGAGCGCTGTGCAGCTGCTGAACTGTTTCACTAAGACTTGTGGAAAGCTTTGTCACTTGAGAAAACTCAGTGACTACAGCTTTGGCGGGGTGAAGAAATTCTCCGCTATATGTCATGACAAGCATGGCAGTTGGAAACATGTTTCACTTGAGGGATGACTCTCATAAGATCGCCGCGTAAGCGGTCGGCTCTGAGAAAAGTTTCACTACAGGTTATTGGCGCGAAGCGAGCCAACTGTCAAGTACCCTCGGGTTTTCGCTTCGTACACTGGCATCATGATTTACAGAAAGAGAAGGCAGAAACCGGATAAGACAAAAAACAGGCTGCTCAGAGTGAGTACTCCGGGGTAAAAGTAGATGGCCCTGATTTCTGAATTGAGCCATCTACCTAGGCGTGTCATTTTGAGGGGGGTTCCAAATCTGTTGATGGCACAGCTATAACAATGCGCCATCTACATAGATAGTGACCCTCACTGCCATCAAAGGAGATTTGTCTGCATTTTTTTAATGTTCAATTTTGTTTCGGGTGTTACGCCTTATTCGGCAAAAAAATATGATAAAATAGATGGCTCATTAAGCCCGTTGGAGCCATAAATGCTGTATTGCAACCCTTGATTGTGCCCCGCCATCTTTGCCCATGAGCAGCATTCAAGGTCAAGCTTGTGGAATGGAGAAGTGCAGGAAAGGAAGCAAAAGGATAAGGATCAGACACAGAAGGTCAAAGGACATGAGAGGAGAGGGAAAGGAGACAGAGGGATGAAAGAGGGTAAGGTATGTAGAGTTGCGCCATCTATTCTGACAGGAACCACTGAAATAAGGCGTGAATGACCAGAAAAAGGCGTGGCATCATCGCCTAAAATAGGTCTGCTCCCCCTAACCTGGGCGTGTCTCCGAAGGGCCCTGTCGGTGCCATCTACTCGCCCTTTTCTGTTTCGCGCCGTGCCATCTACTTTGGCCCGGTGTATGTAGCTATTTGACCTTTAGGTTGATCAAACAGCTTGCCTACCCTTGCATGAGAGTAAGTTGGTTGTGTGAGTTGTGCGAGATGAATGAGTGGACGGTTTCCTGCAAGCGCATGTTTGTATTATCAAATGGACCAAGGAGGCTGCTAGCTGTTTGCGAGTTTGTCGTTTGCAGGTTGCATGTTTTCCTGGGATGGTTGATTTTACTTGGTATTTTCCGCAGTCTCGTTGGTAGGTGTTGTCGTTCTGTTTCATTTTGCAAATCAATGCTGGTATCATGTGCAACAACGGAGAACAGATTTGATGCGAGAGAACCTACAATATATCTAGGTTTGGCTTGAAATCGTAGCTAGTGACATTGCTTTGCTGCTATGGTGTTTTCTTCAGACATCGACAGCTCGTTTGTTTTGCAAATGGTATGACAGGTTCTTCAAGTGTTTCTGGTTCTATTTGGCAAGTTCACATTTGTTTATGCATACGTTCCAGCCATATGCAGATCATTGCAAATTTACACAGCATTTGTTGCGCAAGTTGTAGGATTTGAATGGTGGTGGTTCTAGACAAAACTCACGACAATTCAGCGCAACTGCAAATTTGAATGGAGCGATGCATGAGCGATGCATACGCGACGATTGGCATGCTGCGTCTCAACTAAGAAACAAGGGGTTCATCTCTCTTGAGCCAACCTGCTTGCATTGTTTTTATGAGAGGCACCGTTCTTGGCCATGGTGGCAAGCTTGCTTGAGTAATGGAATTGGAATCTACAAGGCCAAATTGCGGGACTTTACTGCAATATCCGTGCGTTTGGATGAGCGTTTGGCCGCCTGGATCTTTTCTCCCTGGCTGGCAGGCGAAACCCCTGAGGGGTGGAGATGGATGACGAAGCAGCAGAAACCCCAGCTGAGGTGCAATGTTGTTTCTGAGTTTAGCTGGGAAAGTTCGATCATGGCGCAGACTGAAAAGAAGCCAAAAGACAAGAAGGACAAAGAAAAAAAGGCCACATACTATGTCCATCACTGCACTGAAGTTTGGTTTGTAGACTGTAGATAGATGCCTTGCAGGGTATCATCGTTCTGCAGCTTGCGGCAGGAAAAAAAGGACAAAAAGGAAAAAAAAGAGGCTGAGGCGATTCTTTTGAAGATTTGCACGCTTTCATCACATTGGTTGACATGCATTGTTTTGGCAGGACGGAAAGAAACGTAGTAAAGAGAAGGCCGGTATAGACATTGCTTGCAACTTGAGCCAAGCAAATAGACAAACTTGACGTTGAGGAATGATCATTCTCGACAGCAAAAACACTTGAATCTTTGAGTGGTTCATGTGTGAAATATTATTTTGCATTCAGGACGGTGAAAAACCCAAAAAGGAGAAAAAGGAGAAGAAGGAGGATGTTATTGAGCATGTTGATATACCGAGGGCATCGATAGACAATGTGAGTGCAGACCTTGATTTGGACATCCAATCCCCGTATAACAGTGTTCAAGAGGAAACAAGGCGATCTATTGGCTCAGCCAATGAGTTGCATTCTGGTGGTGAACAAATTGCAATTGATGCCTTCATGCAAGAGGCTGAAGTGGCTGAAGAGGCTGATGTGGCTGAAGGCTTTGCTCCACAAGTGCAAATAGACGAAACTGTTGGAGACGGGCAAGATACAGTTGACGATGCCACAGCAGAACAAGACGGTGACAATGGCCACGATGCAGAAGCCACGGATGCACTTAGGAGCAAGGAGGACAAGAAGAGCAACAAGGACAAATCGAAGAAGGTTAAAAAAGACAAGAAAGACAAGAAGGAAAAGAAGGAAGACGAAACAAGGGATCTTGATGTGCAGAGGCCATCGATTGATAATTTCAGTGCAGATCAGGATTTGGATATTCAAGCACCAGTTGACAGCATTCAAGAGGACACAAGGCGACCAGCCAGCTCAGCACAAGCAAGTGATTTGCGCTCTGGTGGTGAAGCAGATGCCTTCATGCAAGAGGCTGAAGGGGCTGTCGGAGATGGACAACATCAACACCATGCGAGAGAGGAGCAAGAAGGTGGCACTGGGGAGGAGGGAAAGAAGAGCAAAAAAGACAAATCAAAAAAAGCGAAGAAAGAGAAGAAGGAAAAAAAGGAGAAACACATTGATGAATCTGAGAACGTTTTGCAGTCGGGTGGCGAAGAAGAGCCATTGATGCAAGAGGAGATTCCGCTCCCAGAAGGTGTAGATATTATGGATTTGGAAGCAATTGCGCTGAGAGGCCGGAGACAAAGAGCATCGGCAAAGCTAGTCAGGCTTTTTGGCGACTAGACTTTCCATCCAGCCCTTAATTCAAATCCGAAGAGCAAACAAGCATGAACAAGACTGTAAACTATAGCCCTTGATGCGTTTTGCTGGAGCGAACCAGGCCCTATCAAGCTGGGTGCTGGCGATGATATCAACATTCCTGAAAGAGCCCAAGTCTCAGAGCTACAGCAACCAAAGCATTTGTTTGCCAAGTCTCAACGCGACCTGCCGTCGAGGTGAACCAGACACCAAAACGCTTCACGTTGACTGGCAAGGAAATGGTGCGCAAATGCACAAGGCAGCTCAGATTTGAGGTGTTGCGGTTATTGCCAAAAGGTCTGGTTGTCAGGGGTTACTTTGGCAAATCTCTTGAGTTGAGCATCTGTCAATGATTAAGAACATTCGTTTTTTTAGTCCCGGCAAGACAAGAGCGGCCTGATGTATTTTTTCATTTGTCCTTTGAATTTCAGCAAGGTGTTTTTTGCCCACGGATTTCCGAATGTTCCAGGGAAGTTCTTGGCTCCTCGATTTCTGCAATTCCAGGTGTGACCTTCTTTGGGATGGCACCGCCATAGTTTGCCCACACTGTCGATCTTCGCTCAGCGACAGCATTTTGCAGGCCATTCAATGCAATGCTGCGGAAGTGCGGTTGAGAGACACTGAACTTGAGCATCTCACAGTGCCTGAACACGTGAGATCGGGCAATTCCTTTGTTGTTTGAATAAAGGTAAGTGAACTCCTATCTCCCAGCCAGCCTGCGCCTCAAACACTTCTCGTCAATCAAGCCCACACTATGAAACTATGAATAAATCTTGTGTGAGGGTTTTGATTTCTTTTTTCGTTCTTGTTTCTTCTGTCTGTGTGAGGTTTCCCAGAATCCTTAGTTGGCAAAATAACTGACATCTTGTGTTCGGTTTATCAGAGCTTGTGTAGTAGTGCATCGCTGAAGGCGTGACTTCTTAAAGCAGGCTTTCAGACGCTATGATGTGGATAGCTCTGGGAGACTGGATGGGAAGGATGCCGGGCATAGAGTGGGTTTCGGCAGCAAGCACACTGTGTAAAAAGTCAAGTGCTGAAAGCGTCTACAACGAGGCTTAGATAGTACCAGCACCAAGTAGCTACTAGTTACTAGGTGGAGGCCATCGCTAGTGACACGAAGCTACTAGGTAGAAAGAGAGCAGAAGACCCTAACGGACTCGGACAACATGACCAAACAGCTTCTCAACGGTGCGCAGTCAGGAGTTGCGCATGGCAGTCCGCGAGCTTGGATGGGCTCGTTGCCTAGATTGTAGTGTGGGGCTGCTGCTGTTGGCCGCGTGTCCTTTTTTATTGGTTCGTTGCTGAACATCAAGGGTTCATTCTAGCCACGCTTTAGAAAGTGGGACAATTTGTTTAGCTGGAAGGCTGGAAGTGTTTATTAATTATTCCAGATTTGTTTGCTTGTCTGAGGACACCAAGCAGGACGTTCTCGACAGATGGGCACGTTTGGGCCTTGCGGCCTTGTCCAGTCCTGTCGATAGATGTTTGGCAGTCCAACTCTGAGGTTTGGGTGGATTGCAGGGCCTGAGCTTGGCGGAGTTTGAGAATTTGGTTGATCCTTGGCTAGAAACTGGACCCTTCAAGCTGTGTGAACAGTATTATAGCTTGAGAGCACTGAAGGACATCGTTTATGGATCTGGACAGCATTCCCAAGCTGCAAGCGACATACATGTGCTGCTGAGCGCTTATCCTGCTGAGGCCAGTGGAAAGTTGGGAAAAAAGACCTTCAAGTCTTCGAAGGGTACAGCCAGTCAGGTCCGGATTTCTTGTCGCTTGCAGACAATACTAGGATGTCCAGATGATACTACTTTTCCTGCTCGTTCACGCGCACATTCATGGTGCGCCCAAACGGAGTTAAACACAATTGTTTGAGAGATCAAGGCCGTTCAAGACGAGGAGCGGCAAATGCTACAAATGGCAGCAGGTGGACCAATGGGATGTATAGGGGGTCGGGCCAAGACAATTGAATCTATTCCACTGAACACAGCTTCACAACGTCTTTGCCACTTTGCCAGACTGCACGAACATGGTTTCGTGAGAGAGGTGCCAATCTCCAGCTTTCCACTGCAGGGAGGCGCTGGTGGTAGTAGACTGATTAGACAAGTCCTGCATTGGATGCAGGGGGCCCTTTGAAGGGAGTTAGAATGACCTTGTCACGGCCTAAACGCATATGTCTCAAACACACACACACACACACACACACCTCTACAATAGCAAGAGGAGCTAGAGAACAATTGACAAAATCCAAGCTTTGCTGGCCAAGTTCAACAAGTGCTAAGCGCTGATTGCAGTACTACTTCAGAACAAGTTGACATGGGCCGCAGAAAAAGCAATTGTTAGAGCTTTGCAATGTGGTCAGACCTAAACACATGGACAGGCAGGGCAGAAGGATGGGATTGATCCCTGGACAGGAGCCCCGTTTAAACTTGTGCTTCCAGCAAATTCTGGGGTATTCACAATTGCATTACATTCTCATTCTTGACCTAGCGAGCTCTACCTGCTACAGGCTGTGCGACCTTGGGCCATGTTTTCCATGGCATCGTTTGCTTTCCCTGCCTAAGTGTCCAAGTGTCCACCTGCACTGGGCGATGCAGGACGAGCCTGTTCTTGAAGCTCTTGCTTCTGTGCCTGCCGCTGAGAAATTCAATTGCCAATTTCCCGACCTAGGCTTGCACCACTTGTGCTTTTCAAAAATGTGTCCCAGATTGAGGCCTGCAAGCTCGACCATACCGTTTGGTGAAGGCAAGTTCTTTCGACATTTGCCTAATGCCAGCGAGAGCCATTTTATTGTTCGAAGACTGGATAGCGAAAGGCTGCCTCCAAAAGATCAAAGAGAGAGAGAGAGAGAGCAGACAGGGAGAACAAGCCGGAAACTTGTGGTCTGCAAAGTGGCTCGCTGTAATTTCTTCACTTGTTTTGGGCTTATGATGTCAGGTGTTCTGCAAGCTTTTTACAGGCTTAAGATGTCAGATGTTCAAAGAAGAGAAACACTGTTTCCTGCAGCTGTCCCTGCAAATGCTTCTGTGTTAGGTGAGAGTGTTTTTGCTGAGCTTCCAGCCCATCGCAAAATTGAGCTTACCGAAGCAGGGATGCCTGTTGCATCCGGTGGCATGCATAAATATTCTAAAAAGGTTCAGAGACTTTGCAAACTAGCCACCGAGTAGCAGCTCGCTATGGCTGGCTAAGCTTGTGAGGCCTGGTCGTTCTGGGATGCTGACCATTCAGGATTCTTGGAGTCCCATCCTTAGCTTGTAGATGGGCATATGGAAGGGAGCTCAGTCCAGTGCAAGCTGAGGCCTTTGGAACTGCTGAGTGCCACAAAAGGCGGGCCTTAGCCCAAAGTCTACGAGCACAGCCGTATCATTGTGGTTCTGTTCAGCAGGACATCACATTCTGTGCGACAAATAAACATGCTTCAGTCACAAACAACAAAGATACATTTGGAGGTTACAGCGCAAGCTCATAATTCAAAACCCTGACTGATTAATCTGAAACCATTCAAGTGCTTGCTTGCGGATGCTTTGGTACCTGTGAATACAAAACGCAATGCATTGACAAGGCTAGTGGTAGACTGTATAAAAAACAGCCGTTAAGCTACCGCTCCTGTTTTGGGCCGCGAGCTACAAGGTAAGCGTACATGATATCCTATATACAGTGCATGGCAAAGTGTACATATTACCTGGGGTGAAAATACACCCCCCTCAGCTGAGGTATCTTTGATACCAAAGCTGGACGCGGAAAGTGCACAAGGGCTAGTGCAGGGCACTGCTGTGAAGCAGGCTGTCCTGTGGCATGATCGGGCGCTAGCAACCCTATGCCTTTCGTGGCCCTACAGGTGCATTTCAATTATTCACCCCCCGCCGCCAAAAGAAAGCTTGAAAGTTTGGACTTGGGAGGAAACACCGCAAAACATATTTACAGAGGATATCATGCAAAAGCTATTGAATTATGCTCGCAAAAGATGTTGAGACTTGGCTCAATTAGCGCCATCGCCCCCACCTTTGACTCGAGCTCCAGTCCCAAGCGCCTCGGCTCCACTGCCTGGCTCCATCCCTCGCTCCAATCGCGAGAGCGCCATCCCCAAGATGAAGATGAAGCTGATGCCGTTGGGCTCACCGATGACGGTGGCTGAGCTCCCTTTGCTTTTCCAGCTGGAGATCTGCCCTCGGTGGTCGTCTTGCGCTTGCCCTTCGCCTGCTGCTGCCGCTGCTCCTGTCCGAGCTTGCTGATGACATCATCGCGAGCAGCTGCGTGACTGGCGTCACAAATCTGGCGAAGGTTGACCATCGGCTGGTCCACGTCCATCAGGTTGCGATGCGCCTTGGGAGTCTTGACATACTCTGCGTACTCCCTCAAGGAAAGAACCTGGTGCGATAGAAGAGGCACCATTGCTCCACGATGTAGTCCATTGCCCTGGGTATACTGCTCGGGCACTACATCGACGTAGGCCAGTCGTGCCAAGGTATGGTCGTCGTCGTAACCAAGTCCGAGGCTGACCTGGGCCCTGCTTCGAGGAGGGTTCGCTAGGTGGCAATGACAAAGGAAGTCCTGCGGCTGGGCACCACGGAAGTCGTGGCCTATGAAGCATGCGCTCCATGAACTGGAGGTCATGTTCGCAGCGATCCTCGATGCTGTGGAAGCCGCATTTCTCAGCACGCCGGCGGCGATTCCGGTGCTCTCTTGTTGTTCAGTTTGAAACAGCGAGCAACTTCGTCGATGTCTGCAAAGCCCTCCTCATCCACCTCTAAGCCAAGGTACTGATCATGCTGGCCACTTTGGACAGCTGAGTCAGGTAGTCCCAACCCCTTGCGAATTCGAGAGGAACATCCCGCATCCTGGTCTCCGATCCTCACAGCCTGCTGGAGTGAGCCATTGACGTCAATGGTGCAGTGCTTGTACTCCCTGTACTGGTCTTCCAAGTACTGAACGGAGACAGGATAGCTATCCATCACGTCCACCGTTTTTGACCGCGATGGTGCACGAGCTGAGGATGGTGCTTCGGGCTCGGGCTCGCCTGTGACGGCGGCCGTCTCAGCCTCCTCAACTGGGTCAGCCTCTTCCTCTTCAATCTCTTCGGGCTGTTCCTCAGTTGCCGCCGCATCCTCCTCCTCGCCCTCAATTTTCCAGCCAAGACGCAGGAGTTTGGCCAGTGCCAACGCGATGAGGGAGCTCTTCAATGACCTCCAATCTGCCTTCATAGGTGTCTCGACTGATATTGAGCTCCTCTGCGATGCGCTCCTGGATCTTTTCTGCGGTTGCATCGTTTGCCACGAAGATGTCCGGCCAGATCCGCTTCATTCTGTGATTGGCGCCGCTCGATTGGGCTGCTCTGCGAGCTCTGCAATTGCCACGGCACGCTGATGGCGGATCTCTGCAAGGCCCTTGAGGAGGTCCTCGTATAGCGCTGATGAGCTGGCCTTCGATCTGATCGTGCTTCAAGGACATCTGTTGGTCTTGTCATGGCACTAACGGCCTTCACCTCCAGTGAAGTGTCAGCCAACACGTACAAGCGCATCATCAAGTGGAACATGCTGTTGCAGAAGCTGTAGATGTGATTTGCATTCTCGTCACTCTTCTCTGCGTGCCACTGATCCTTGAACTCCAAACGAATGGTCAGGACGTTCGAGTTCACCAGCCTGAAACGGCGCTTGCCGATCTGGCTCGGGTAGACTTCATCTTGAAACCAGGCCGCCAGGTCGTTCATCCACGATGCATATGGCCCACGCTTGGTAAACCCGTAGGTTCCAGGATCGGGCGCGCTGACGACAGCGGCTGAGTGGACTCCATATCGGTGGCAATCGGCGGAGAAGCCGATCAATGCCTCCTGGACTTGATCCAACAGCCTCTGGTACTTGTCGCCCTCGGGCGAGGTGTACGGCCAGGTGATGAGGTCTTCGATCCCGGTCCTGCCCACAAGTTCGTTCCCTGACCATACAACTGCCACCAGGATCATAGTGCCGGGGTATTGCGCCTTCAAGTTCCTGATTGAGATTCTCGCTCTTTTCAGCAGATGCGCTCGTGGTGGTAAGGCTTATAGGTTATCAGCCGTTAAGCTACCGCTCCTGTTTTGGGCCGCGGGCTACAAGGTAAGCGTGCACAATATCCTATATACAGTGCGTGGCAAAGTGTACATATTACCTGGAGTGAAAATGCAGACTGGTAGACACTTCAATCGCTGTCACCTTTGTTAGTCAAGCAAAGATTGAAGTAAATGACGACTTGTGCCTGAATGAGGCCTGGGCTTCCACTTTCCTATAGAGATGATCATTTCGGCTGCTTGTCCAAATTGGATTAGGTTTCATGCTTCGTGCTTTCCCGGGTCAGAGCGTGTATAGTGTAAGAGTGACACTTGTCATTTTTGACCAGAGAATTGCATTACTCTGGCATTGATCGCGTTCCATCACGCTATTTCCATGCCCTTTATATATATATATATTTTTTTTTGAAAAAATATATACGTATATATTTTCTTTTCCCAAATGCGTAGCGAAGGGTTCCCGTTTATAGTTGGGGGTCTGGGGGTTGGAGCTGTGATTGCGTGGCTTGCGTCGTGTCGTCGTCTCTTGTCGTCTGTCGTCGTTTGGCGTCGTCTCTCGTCGTTTGTCGTCGTCGTCGCGTCTCAAATTTGCTGCCATTGGGGGAAGCTTTTGCAAGTGACTTTTCATGGACGTGTCACGTGTCAGTTTGCGCCGCGATTCCATTGTGATTTGCAGGACCATGACATGTCGCGCAAGAAGCGGGATGCATTTCGCTGCACAGGCGCAGCGTTTTGTGAGATCCGCAGATTGCTGCGCAGTGCCATGGGATTAGCGTTTGGAGAGTCGTGTTTTTGGGGTGTTGGATGTGGCCGTGCCATTAGGATTTGCATTTCAGGGTGTGGCATCGAAGCTCGGGTTTCGTGACAAGTCTGAGCTGCAATGGCGGTTTTGGTGGATGGGAGTGTGCTCAGAACGGGTCGAAATCATTCCAAACGTGTGGTGCGGTGCAAATTTTGTTGAAGCTCACATGAGATGATATTGCTACTTTTCGTGGCAGGCGCTGTACTTTGTGTGGGTTTTGAGGCGTGGAAGTGCGATTCTCGTGGCAGGCGCAGGGAATCGTGAGGTTGCGATGTGTGACGGAGGTGACATTTCGTGGCAGGCGCAGTACTTTGTGCGCGTTGGGCGTGTGGACGCGGAAAGATTTGTGGCAGGCGCAGGGAATCGGGAGGTTGTGAGTTGTGGTAGAGGTGAATGTCGCTGTCACATTGGGATTGGCGTTTGAGCGGGTGTCGTTTGGAGGGGCTGGAATCGCGAAACTGCTTGGCAGGGCTGCGTGATGTGTGTGCTCCGATGGGTGTTTCCGCTTGACTTTTGGAGGAAGTCTCGTACGAAACGCTCGTTTTGTAGACTTTGATGTGTGAGTTTTTGAGGAAGTCTCGTACGAAGCGCTCGTTTTGGGGACTTGAGATGTGACTTTTGGAGGTAGTCTCGTACGAAGCGCGCATTTTGGAGACTTGACGTGTCACTTCTGGAGGAAGTCTCGTACGGAACGCTCGTTGAGTGACCCACAAGAGTGTCACAAGAGTGTCCCGTATGAGTGTCCCACAAGAGTGCCCCGCAACCGTGTCCCACAAGAGTGTCCCACAAGACTGCCCTACAAGAATGTCCCACAAGAGTGTCCTACAAGAGTGCCCCACAAGAGTGTCCCACAAGAGTGCCCCACAAGAGTGTCCTACAAGAGTGTCCCGTCCCACAAGAGTGTCCCACAAGAGTGCCCTACAAGAGTGCCTCATAAGAGTTTCCTACCAGAGTGTCCCACAAGAAGAGTGTCCTGTCCCACAAGAGTGTCCTACAAGAGTGTCCCACAAGAGTGTCCCACAAGAGTGTCCCGCAACAGTGTCCCACAACACAAGAGTGTCTCACAAGAGTGTCCCTTAAGAGTGTCCTACAACAGTGTCCCACAAGAGTGGCCCATAAGAGTGACCCACAAGAGTGTCCCACAAAAGTGTCCCACAAGAGTGTCCCATAAGAGTGTCCCGCAAGAGTGTCCTACAAGAGTGTCCCACAAGAGTTACAAGAGTGACCCGCAAGAGTACAAGAGTGTCCTACAAGAGTGTCCCACAAGAGTGTCCCACAAGAGTGTCCTGCAAGAGTGTCCCACGAGAATGTCCCAAATGACCCACAAGAGTGTCCTACCAGAGTGTCTCACAAGAGTGTCCCACAAGAGTGTCCGACAAAAGTGGCCCATAAGAGTGACCCACAAGAGTGTCCTGTAAGAGTGTCCCACAAGAGTGTCCTACAAGAGTGTCCCGTAAGAGTATCCCACAAGAGTGTCCGGCAAGAGTAGCCCACCAGAGTGACCCACAAGAGTGTCCTATAGGAGTGTCCCACAAGAGTATCCTACAAGAGTGTCCCGTAAGAGTATCCCACAAGAGTAGTGTCCCACAAGAGTTTCCTACAAGAGTGACCCACAAGAGTGTCCTACAAGAGTGTCCTACAAGAGTGTCCCACAAGAGAGTGTCCTATAAGACTGTCCCACGAGTGCCCTACAAGAGTGTCCCACAAGAGTTTCCTACAAGAGTGTCAAACAAGAGTGTCCTACAAGAGTGTCCCGCAAGAGTGTCCCACAAGAGTGTCCCACAAGAGTGTCCCACAAGCGTGTCCCACAAGAGTGTCCCAAATGACCCGCAAGAGTGTCCTACAAGAGTGTCTCACAAGAGTGTCCCACAAGAGTGTCGGACAAGAGTGGCCCATAAGAGTGGCCCACAAGAGTGTCCTATAGGAGTGTCCCACAAGAGTGTCCTACAAGAGTGTCCCGTAAGAGTATCC